CTACAGGGAATGGAACTATTTATTCCATCATCTGTGGTACCCATCGGAGGCAGATCTCAGCCTTGGTTTGGTCGCTCCTGTAAGACTGCATTGCGCAGTAAGCAGGAGTGTTATCAAGCCTGGGCTGCAGCTTCGGTGACTCGGGATGTAAACACCAGCACACTTAAAAAGAAGTATAACTTCGCCTCCAGGTCCTTCAAAAGAGTTATTGCCAAGGCAAAGTCAGAGCACATAGGCAGAATTGGCGAGAGACTAGTTCGCCTTCCTTCGGGAACCCGTGCATTCTGGTCTCTCGCCAAGGCTGTCCAAGGGAATTTCTGTAAGCCATCACTACCATCTCTGCACAGGGAGGATGACTCACTGGCCCATGACGCAAAAGACAAAGCCGACCTTTTAGGCTCCCTTTTTGCGTCCAACTCGACTCTTGATGACGGGGGGAAAACACCGCCGACCATCCCGCGGTGTGAGTGCTCCATGCCGGATGTGCTGTTCTCACAGCGCTCGGTTCGCAAAGCACTGCTCTCCCTGGACATCCAGAAGTCGAGTGGGCCTGACGGAATCCCCCCAATTGTGCTGAGGACGTGTGCTCCGGAGTTGGCACCGGTCCTAACGCGTCTTTTCCGGTACTCCTACTCCCAAGGCGTAGTCCCGAATTCATGGAAGACAGCTTTTGTCCACCCGATCCCTAAAAAAGGCGACCGCTCAGACCCGTCCAACTATAGGCCTATCGCGATCACCTCCTTGTTCTCCAAAATAATGGAATCCATTATTAACTGCCAGCTCATCCGGTACCTTGAGGATCACCAGCTGATTAGTGACCGCCAATACGGTTTTCGTCGGTGTCGATCAGCTGGTGATCTTCTTGTCTACCTGACCCATAGATGGGCGGAGGCAGTAGAGTCCAAGGGGGAGGCGTTGGCCGTTAGTCTGGACATTGCGAAGGCCTTTGATCGGGTTTGGCACAAAGCGCTTCTTTCAAAGCTGCCTTCCTATGGGCTTCCCGAGAAATTGTGCAATTGGATCACCAGCTTTCTTGCAGATCGGAGCATCAAGGTCGTTGTAGACGGTGCATGTTCTGACTACAAGCCTATTAACGCTGGTGTTCCACAAGGCTGTGTGCTATCACCAACGCTGTTTCTTCTGCATATCAATGATATGTTGCTAACTGGTAACATTCATTGCTATGCGGATGACAGCACTGGTGATGCTCTATACACCGGCCGGGCCAATATTTCTCGGGAAAACGTCGCCGAGTACCGGAACAAACTTGTGTCTGAAGTCGAGTCTTTGCTGGACAAAGTCTCGGATTGGGGGCGACTAAATCTAGTCCAGTTTAATCCTCAGAAGACACAAGTTTGCGCGTTTACCGCTAAAAAGAACCCCTTTGTCGTATCTCCTCAGTTTCAAGGCACTCCCCTTCTTGCCTCAGCCAGTATCGGTATCCTCGGAGTCGACATATCGAGTGACGTGCAGTTTCGTGGTCACTTGGAAGAGAAGGCCAAATTGGCCTCTAAAAAGCTTGGCGTGCTCAGCAGAGCGGGACAGTATTTCATGCCGGCACACCGCCTGCAACTTTACAAGGCGCAGGTTCGGCCTCACATGGAATACTGTTCCCATCTCTGGGCAGGGGCTCCCCAGTGCCAGCTCCTTCCACTTGACCGCATCCAGCGCAGAGCGGCTCGAATCGTCGACGACCGAGCCCTTTCCGATCGGCTCGATTCATTGGCACTGCGAAGAGATGTTGCATCTCTTTGCATTTTCTTTCGCATCTACCATGGGGAGTGCTCTGAGGAATTGTTCGGATTAATCCCAGCCGCCAAATTTCACGAACGCACATCGCGGCAGAACTCCCGATACCATCCACACCATCTGGATGATTGGCGGTCCACCACTGTGCGATTTAGAAGATGTTTTCTTCCTCGCACAACTTCCTTGTGGAATAGTTTACCACCAGGGATTTTTCCGGACCGATACGACTTAGGGACCTTCAAGAAAAGAGCCTACTCCTTTTTAAAAGGCCGGCAACGCATCTGCAATTCCCCTGGTGTTGCGGTTGTTCATGGGCGGCGGTAGTCACTTACCATCAGGTGAACCGCATGCTCGTTTGCCCCCTCTCCTATAAAAAAAAAAAAAAAATACAAGAATAGCGTACGTGAGCGAAGATTGTGTACTACGAATTATCCAATTATTATTTCTCCTCAATACATTGATGAAATTGCTTTAGATGACGATGTAGGTGACCCCACTTATAATTTTGAGGACAAATATGCTAACTTTTCTTCTCACAGAAATAAGAATTATTTATTACCCTCGAGTTCGAATTCAGACGAGTACGTCAAAGAAGGTCGCAAGCGGCTGAAACGGCCAGAAAACTGGAGACAAAACCATATAAAGGTAAAGCGAAACAAGGGTCAATCCTATAAATCTTTCTCTAAGACGATGTTTAAAACCGTCATGCTCAAATTGTGGACTGAATTGTAGTCAAAAAATTAATGACTCAGTAAGGTACGTTATTTTTGATAAGTTTTGGAAACTAGGAGACCTAAACCAACAGTTGATATTCAGCTAAAATATAAATACATAAACGCAGAAAATCCACGTCGTCGTAACAAGGCTTTTTTCTTTATCGTCAATGGCAATATGGTAAGAGTACGTAAAACATTTTTCATCATTGTTGTGAAAATATTTTACAAAACAAACGATAATTTTTACAATTTTTCGCGAGCTCTTCTCCGTAAGTAGTGACGTTGCGCACTGACAGTTACACGTCGCTGAGTTCACTTACTCGGTTTTACGTTAGTTTTAGTTGCTTCACTTTTGGTGCGCGTACTAGTATTCTATACGTAATAATTCTATGGGTTAACGTATTGACGTCGTACTGTTCACACAATTAGGTACCTATAGCAGCCGCCTCTTGAACATTATTGATGTTAAGGGTGCGGGCGACTCAACGCGACTGAGCTCTTCGCGAAGTAGCACGAGTGTGTAGTCCGAAGAACGTGTGACGTTCTTCAGACTACGATCGACTTCGACGAGCACTTCGTCAAAGTTACTTCGCGAGTAGTGTAGAGGAGGCATTAGAATTTCGGATGACTAACACATCTACGATTAGATGATTTTAGAGTTTGTTCTGATAATCTTAGAGTTGTGAAGATGTTCTAAAAATGCAGTTACTTTGTCTGATGGTAAGCACCCGAAACGTCGAGTCTTGAAAAAAAAAATTAAACGCGATAAAATCCGTAAAATTTGTTCTTTAAAATCTTGGTTCTCACAAGGTTCTCCGTATTCAAATTTGCTACATATTTATTAATCTGTTTTAATAACTCTTACTCTATATACACTTAGGGAAAAAATCAAGCGCTGGCAACATTGAGTGCAATGCTGCCAAGTTATAGCTTGCTACATATTTATCTATGGTTATAATATAACGGCGTTTCTTACCATAATCTATTTTTTTTTTTTGGAGTTTATGGCCTGGCATCTAGACCTTTAGGCCAACCATACCATAATCTACCTGTAAGCTAATGTTTCCAACTTAGCGGTTTTTACCACTAAATTTGGTGATTCTACGTCTTCGTCCTTGGAAATATTCCGTGTATTGTTTGGTAGTTTTATTTAATAGTAACTATGATCCTAAACCTGAAAACCCTATTTACAAATTACAAAACAACTAATAAAGAACTACACTAAGTTTTAATTGGAAAATCCTAACATAGTTACTAAATACAACTATATGGTATAAATATTAAACTTATGGCCAAATACTCAAACACTACTCAATTTCGAGATGTCGTTAAGTCTCATGGTGTTACAGTCACTTTGAATTAAAGTGGTAGAGACAGCACGAAACTTAACGGAATCTTAAAATTGAGTAGCAATTGAGTATTCGGCCTTTAACCTATTAAATGAGAGTTCATTCGTTATCAAATCAGTTCGAGCTTTCGAAAGTATGGCAAGTGATTTAGCAGAATGTAAACTAAGTGGTGATTTTTTTTTATAGAAGAAAGGGCAAACGAGCATACGACTCACCAGATGGTAAGTGACTGCCGCCACCCATGAACAACAACTGCAACACCAAGGGAATTGCAGGTGCGTTGCCCGCCTTTTAAAAGAATAGGTATACAAAAATTTTAAGGAATTACTGCGGGAACTTGAAATATTATGGATTTACCAAGAAATACCTAAACCTATAAAATATAAAAGTAAATAATTTATGTTGATTATTGGTCAATTACTTAATCCACAACTGCTGTTAGAGAGTGGTATATTCTTTGATCCACAATATCCACTTTCCTCACTCCCACTGATATTATACAAAAGTAACTGTCCCTCTCTCTCTCTCTCTCTCTCTCCCTTTCTTTCTGTCATTCTATTTGATACCTTTTCAAGATTAAGTGCCTCAATCGATTTTGAGGCAGTATTCCAGTAATTTCTATGGGACATGGGCTCTTTAATGTCATCATAAGCAAGGGAATATAGACTTTTTAACATCACTATCATCACTATTACCATGCGGGTAATACCGCAGCGGACAGCTAGTAAATAATAAAATATAAGTTACAAACATGGTTTTATTATTCACAGCCGTGCCTATTGTATAAGTGTAGTTTACTATTTTGGAGAGGTGATCTACTCCGCTTATACTCATAATCACGCGAATGATACCGATAAAGTACACCCGCACTAAACTAAGCGCACATCGATCGTATAAATTGTGTTAATTAAAAATTGATTCATTCTGATAATTTCATTTATAAAAGTTATAATGTGTACCTTAACCTAAAGGTGATTTAATAATGATACGGAAAGGTATTAATAATTAAAAGCATTGCTTGAGGAGGTTCCACGTCACGCCTACTTTAAATTAAATCTGTTTAAAAATCTTTTCGTCAATTTTTTGGCGACTTGCACTAATCTAAATTTGGCAACACTGATTGGTTTGGCTTTGGTTTGGTTAGACGATGCCATTAGCTAAAAGATCTTCGCCCGCCCGCCATTTTGTTACAAAAGAAGCGGGATTGTGGTTGCGGCACTTTGTTTTAATGCACGTGTAGTAATTTTTGTAATAATATTGAATTAAAGTAGTATTTTGTAAAATATAAAATGGTACCGGTAAGTACTATTTTTGAAATTTACTTGTTTCTTTTGTAAATCGAGAGAAATCTAAATAAAAACGTTTTATTTCCAGCAAACGAAAGTGTTCGTCGGTAGCTTGCCTCAGGGCTCCAAGCCCGAGGAATTGCGAAAATTGTTCGAGCGATTTGGTGTTGTGACGGAATGTGACATCATGAATCGTTGCGGATTCGTACATATGCAAACTGAGGAGCAAGCGTCTGCAGCTATCCGCAGTCTTAATAATACAACATTTAACGGTGGTGTCATAACAGTAGAAAGAGGACGTATCAAGGAGAGAGGTCAGCGCGGTGGTGGCGCCCGTGGCGGCATGCGAGGAGGCATGCGTGGATCCATGGATCGTCGCGGCGGCGGACCAATGCGAGGTGGACCACCGACCCGAGATGCCCCGTACATGAGAGACGCACGACCAATGGGCCCCATGCGTGGAGGCGACATGCGAGGTCCACCCATGGGCGGCGGAATGCCGATGCGTAACGGAATGGGCGCACCACCGTACGATAGGGGTATGGAACGACCTATGGGCGGCTACGACGACCGCGGCTATAATGGCTATGGGGGCGAAGATAGAAGAGGCTTCGCCTTGATGGATGGACGTGGCCGCGACCAGTACGGCGCGCCGCCGATGTATGACGACCGGCGGGGCTATGGGACTGAGGACATGTCGGGAATGTATCCAGACGAGCGGCGAGCGCCCATGTACCCAGATGAGCGCGACATGATGGACCGCCGGGCGCCCATGCGTGGGCCTGGTCCCATGGCACCGGCTTACGAGCGCCCGCCGCCTCGCGCCGCTCCCATTCCCACTGCAGATATGTTCAGCAGGCGCTCTCCGCCACCCATGTAAGTATATGTAATTACCACCTATTAATTAACATAACTCGTTATCAGTATTTACGCTGCCCACTGCTGAATGTAGGTTTAAGGTGGTAGTCAATATATTTGTTCTCAAACAGTATGTGTTTAGCATGTTGAAATTTTGCATGTGTGCTTATAATAATGTAACCTTTCTGTAAAAAAAAAAAGGCATTTAAATCGATGGTCCATATTGGAAAGTTTAACCAGTGGTTATCCTTACCTTACTATCTTAAATATAAGTAACTATTTTTTCAATATGTAAATCATTATTTTATTATCTGTCGGAGGCCATAAGGTCTAAATTCTTTTCAGTTATTGTTTGCCACAGTGGATTAGCTAATCGGTAATTGAAAAGCTACAAATTATACAAAATGTGTCAAGTGTGGGTATATTTAGGGTGATTATATAATTTAGGGTGACTCTTTCTCAGCATACTTCAAAAATGCTTAGGAAGTATGATATCGTGGCTCCATTTTATCCCCTAAGCATCATAAGAGATAGCTTATGCTGAAAATAGTCCAAGTGGTGGCTTAGTTCTTGAGGTCTGAGATATACTGGTGACTTTCAGTACTGTTCAAATGGAAGTATATGCCATCACAATCACACTTAGTAGGTGAATTGCTGATTGCAGTACCAGATGCCTTTGCTTTGTGTGCCTTGATTATTTAAGCCATTCAAACTCATTGAACAAGTTCAGTAATGCATAAATGTTACTGATGATCAAGGGAAGTGTCTTTGGTCTTGGCTGAGCAAAGATGCATAGCTCTGTATGTGGTGATCCCTGTACACATCAGCCGCATGGGCTGCTGGTCTTTAACCATCAAGCTGTATTTGTGTTTAATTCATTAATTTAATTTGAAATATTCATATGACAAGAAAATATCCTGCTTAGTTGTTGAATTCTGGTTATTATTGTTAATTGAGGTGATAACTCAAGTTGTTTAAAACAATTTCATTCTTATGTATTCATTTATTCACATAAGCATCCTTCACAGATTGTCTCATTGAGGGATGTTGGCCATAATTTTTTTAATTTTTTATGTGGTAGAGCCATTTTGCAGCTACATTAGTAGTATAGATGTAGCACGAATGGGTCGTCTTGACCGGGGAAGGACCACACTCTCGCAGAATACCAGTGTAAAATGGCAGCTTAACACTGTTGTGTTTCATATGGTGAGTGTAGAAAACCAAAGACCCTTTTTACTGGAAAAGAGACATTCCATCTTATTTCTCATGGGTGACAATGGATCTGTATTTTGATTCTTTATTGAGGATAGATGTAGATGTCTATAGGTCTCAGCAACCACTTACCATCAGGTGGACTGTATGCCCGTTTGTCACCCTATCCTTTAAAAAAAAACCGGCCAAGTGCAAGCCGGACTCGTGCACCGAGGGTTCCAAACAAATCCGTAGGTATATAAGTTTAAAATTATTGAAAATATTTTTATTATAATATGATGTAACTAAAAATTTATGCTTTTCGCAATTTTTCCATTATCTGTGCTTTAATACGTTGCTTCGTACTAAATTTTAATATTCTGAGTTCACGGGAAGTACCCTGTAGGTTTTGATTCCCTTGTGAATGTTGAAAATTTGTGGCATAAACGGCTATCTTTTGATTGCGTTGGCTTAGAAGTTTGATATTTTCACAGTTCCAAGGGACAGTAGACTTGAGATTTTGATATGAATTTCAGCTTGATACCTCCACACGTTCCTGAGAAAAAAGGTTCCAGATGGACAACAAAGTGATCCTATAAGGGTTCCGTTTTTTCCTTTTGAGGTACGGAACCCTAAAAATAAAAAATAATTGGCCACACTTAGTAGGTAGGTTGGCAACCACAGTTTTAATAATACCCTATGTGGAAATAGCCAGATTGGCACTGGGAAGAAGCCAACATAGTAATTACAGCAAAAATTTTACTAGGAGGCCCATGTGCTATGGACTGTTCATGGGCTGATGAGAATATTTTTTAACAGACTTAAATAAAAAGGAGGAGGTTCTCAATTTGATTGTGAGTTTTTTTTATTTGTGTTACATCAGAACTTTTTCCTAGGTGAACAGATTTAGATGATTCTTTTTTCATTTGAAAGCTAGTGCTTTTCATGTGATCCCATATAAATATGATCAGGATCTGACTAGTAGTTTTTCAGTTTTCCTTAATAATGCGTATTTGTTGGACTTCGACTACATTGATGATGTTCTGATTTTATTTATTGAAGTCCGGTTGTACAAAATGTTTAATTTGACTATTTGTTTCTTCTTTCTTTACCTATCGTTTCTCCTGTTGTTCGAGGCGATTACTGTTCTAGACCTCTCGCACCTTGACTCTGCCCCTAACTGCTGTAGGTGATACTCTGGTGTTACAAGATGGTAATATGGCGATCCATTGGAAGCCATGAGATCCTTGTGGCCTGACTGAACCAATGGGACAAAATGGAGTGATCAATTCTCTAACTCTGCCACTATAACACAACACATTTTTGTTTATATTCCAGGCGTGGTGCAGCGGGGGTCGCAGGAGGTTACGACCGAGATCCATATGCACAACAGTACCCACCAATGGGACGGTGAGCATTTTTATATATTATTTACACTTAATGTAACTATTAAGTAACTGCAAAGTTGCACAATACAGCACAATGCAAGCAGATGTGACTTGTTTTAATCACTTGGCAATATGAGTGGGTTAGCAAGCAACAAGCCATTAACACAGGACTTAACACACTGTATGTAACTGTCACACACAATATGAAGTATAACTTGTGTTGTATGTGTTATATATGTCGTAGAGCCATGCTGCAGCCTATTGTAGCACGAATGGGTCGGCTTGACAAGGGAAGGACACTCAGAGTACCAGTGTAAAATAGCAACTTGATGCTACTGTGATTCTTATGGTGAGAATAGAGATTGACCATTTTCACTGGCCACAAGGCATTCTATCTTAGTCCTCAGAGATGACAATGCATCTGCATTTGATTCTTAAATGAGCATAGATGTATATGTTTATGGGTCACAACATCCATCTATCATCAAGTAGATATTATAATGATGACAAGCACACAGCTTGTCACCATTATAATATAATTAAAAAAAAAACTGTCGACATAAATTAATACTTCACATGCAAAAATATTCTATATAAGATGATACACAGGTTTGGAATATTTAAAAATAATGGATGTTATATATTCAAAATCTGTTTATCTTTTTAGTTTTAAATACTGATATTCTGGGATTAGTAAGTTCCTCTGTTTGCATGTAAGGTTTTGTTAAGAAATTTGTGATCTTGTACTACTATCCTGATATTTGTTGCCTCTCTCATTTATACAATAGCATAGACAAATAAATACAAATAATAAATGCAGTTACTTGATAGTTTTTGTATTTTTGTTCAAAAAATATATCAAAGATATTGGCTGAATATAAATACGAAAATTTAAAAATAGTTTTACTGTTTTTATAAAACATGCAATTGCAATGCAATTAACAAAAATATTTTGTAAGTAAAGTACCAGCCTACGTACATCTTTCCTGATGGGCATAATCCACCTCTAAATTTCTGAGGTTTTGAAGAGAAGAGTACACTGCACTGTGTCAAATATAAAATGCATGTTGGTGGCTTTTACATTTAGTCAAAATATTTTATAGGTTCACTAATTCACATAATGCATCTCCTACTTGAAAACATGTTCTTATAGATAGTTTGAATATTGTCCATGTAATTTATTTAGGATCCATTACAAAATAATATAAAATTAATTAAAAGCTTTTTCTTATAATAGATATATCCCAAGTATTATTCATTTTATAATATTTTTAAAGAATACAAGCAATACAAATACTCCTGTAAACCACTCTGCAATCTGCTAGGGTGGTAGAGCTCCTTTGTATCTAAGAGTTTGTCTCGTTAGGTACCAACCTTTTACCTGTTTCTGCCACTAAACACCTGAACCTGCGCTGTTGTGCTTCGGTCTAAAGGGTATAGAGATAACACATCTGTAGTCTTCTTTGTTTGAAGTGTGCTGTAGTTGCCACTTACCTTTATCTTCTTTACATCCTTTATCACTTTACAAAAAAAAACGCAAGTCAGTTGAAATGTATGAAACATTGTGCTAGAAGTGGCTTACAACAATACTCCAATGAAGAAACAATATATCAAGGAGAACATGGTTGTATTTCCTGTTATGTTTCCAGTCCAAGTTGCTGCTAAAAGCATTATGAAAATTGATCATTTATTTTCAGAAATTGTAGAAACCTATGACCTATATTATAAGGTGCAAAAATTTGTTTTAGGGGGAGTCACACGGGTTGGTAGAGATCGTAACGAATATGTCAATCGGTCTGCCTAGCCCCACTAGATGAGTAGTCAGATGCGTTAGACCACTACATTTACGATTTTTTTTTACTATAATATAAACATAAACCGGGAAATGCACGGGTCGGTGGCGGTTATTAGTTAGAGTAATGCGTATAATGTAAGCAATAGTTTTGATATAAATGTTACGAGCAAGTAGTATTAATGTTTTAAGAGTTGACAATGTGTTGCCAGTGTTCTTAAGCAGAACATATTTATGATCCCATTCATGTAATTTTTAATATACGTTAGACAATTACTTCCTTGATAACCTACAATATCCGTTAAGGTTATGCTGCGAACCATTCACGTTAAAATCATAATTAAGTTAGGTTAGTCTACGCCCACAGCTGATAACCATAGATAGCGTTTTTTTTTTCGGTATTTAGCAAACGCGACATTTTTATTATTTAGTATAGTGAGATTTATGAAGCTCGGGAGATTAGACGTTAGGATTTCACGCGATGGTACAGAGCTGGAGGAGAGCAGGGGTTGTCGGCTGTGTCGCCCGTGCATTCCCGTTTCGTTGAGAGGATTTGATTCGAACCCGGAATTCGGATTCGTCCTCGAACGCGATCGCTCGTTACCTTAGGTGCGGTCAGATCCACTTCAATCAAATTATGTCAAAATCATTTTGTAATTCAATAAATGAAGATTTTACTCTAGTAAACGCGCGGTTTCATTTCATCCGCTGACGACGACGCCTGGCGATCAGTTCTCCGCTTGTCCGATGCGTTTAGATTTATATAAATTTTTGCTAAATGATAAGATTCTAAAATGTTTAAGATGTATTTTTAAGGTGTATTATATTATCGTTTAGATTAAATCCTTTACCATTTAATTTATTTTTTATTTATGAACCCATTATTGACATCAAGATCTTTTATTTGCATGTTTATTTAAGCATAACTCTCTCTGGCTTCAATTGCTTTCAAGGTTGCGGTTTTTTTAACATATGGGCTATACTATCGAAGGAATTTATTTAACTAGGCGTATGTCTAGATTTTTGAGCCCTTAAAATTAAGAATTTTATAGGCTGTAATGCGAAGCTAATTGTCTGGTGCGGCGTACACGAGCGTAATACGTAAGCACGTGCGAAGCCACCGACTGTTGAACGGCTGACAGTTAGAGCTATGCGTTGCGGTGCGTTGAACCGCCCCGTAATCTTGTAACATTTCCAAATTGTATCTAACGTGCGCTTAGAGCGTCGACTTTCGAAGAGAAAGTGCGTGCGAGTCCTTTCAGACAGTAAGTAGCGGCTTCACGGTGCGAACTGCGGCGACACGTAGTCGATGCGATGTTGTGCGGACGCGGTACCGCAGTATGTTAGTCGGCGACAGAAGACCAGGATAACGTAATGCAATCGTAAGTACGGACAAACCCAAACGAGATCGCGTGCGTTCGCTCGCACCTGTTACCTTCATTACGAATAAAGAAGTAAATATGTGTAGTAGGAGTAACCACTGCGCAGGACGGAGGTTTTTCAGTGCGACATGTGAAAACACAAATTTTTCATCACATGCCTAAATTTATAATATTTTTTTATACAGTATTGGTACAGTATACGATGTGCGCATTCTAGAATTGTTTTAACAATTGTATCGTTAGTCGGATATTCTTTATCAAAATTTCCTAATATATATAACATAGGAAAGGAATCGGTTATTGTATTGGCGCACGAAAATTCAATACAAAGTTAAACGAAAAATGAATTCTGTACTCTATTCTATACAAATTCTACTGTAACGTTAGCTATATTACATTAAATGCTATGTTAATACATATATTAACCTTTTTATGTGTTTAACAGAATCTGGCACCCTGGATGAAGCACGGAGTGCGAGTTTGGATTAATCACAGTATAATATTATGCTAATAAGTCCAGTATTTAAAAAAGTCTGAATTTTCAGGCTGTGAGGATACCAGGTTCCCGTGCTCAGTATGGAATTGAGATGTTATTTGTAATTACAAAGTGTATAATAAATTTTTTTATGGATTTTCATTTTTTATTTCCCTATAGCCTTATTTCTCTAAAACTATACTCACTGAATTTCTATCTAAAATATATGTTAAATTAAATATTTTAACACGGTGGATTTTTGAAACCATTAAGTCTTATATGATTATTTTTATAATATATCAACGATTATTATTTCTTTTTTTTATAGCATATGGGTGACCGATCACAGTCCACCTGATGGTAAGTGGATGTTGTGGCCTATAGACATGTATGTTTTAGATATGAGCGCCGAAGGCCAGTTCCACGACGGCGGCGGCGCGGCGTGGCTGGCCATAGGCCTTAGATAGTGTTTTATCGGGAATAGATTTCTTACAAAAGACTTAAAGAAAACCATATTGTTTATACCAAAAACAGCTTTATATTTTTAATAAAGCCCTGGGGAGCCCCAGCCCAGTGATGGGAACAGGATTCCATGTGAGGCCGAACCTGCGCCTTGTAAAGTTGCAGGCGGTATGTCTACGACGTGTGTCTACGCGGCGCTCATATCTACTATGTTTATCTTCGACTAAAAATCAAAATGCAGATGCGTTTGTCACCTTTGAGTAATAAGATGGATTGCCTCGTTTCCACTAGAAAGGGTCTCCGGTTCCAACTGGTTGCTTTACTATATATGTACAAATAACAGGAAATTGAGAAAATTGTGTTTGTTCCGATTAATGCAAAACGCCTGGAGAGATTTAAAAATAATACGGTGAATAACTTTCTATCGCTTTCTTACAAGAACAATTCAGACTATTTATATGGAGTAATATTTACCCTTATAAGCAATGAATTTAATAAAACATTCCTCTTCTAAAATATTCTCCAGTAACAATCTCAAGGCATTTAATGAGTGGGAGACAGAAGGAATTCATAAGAGCAGACAAAGATTTATTCTAAAATGTTTAAAAGAATGCTCCACAACCAAATCTACATTGTATGTAGATTTGGTTGTGGAGCATTCTTTAGTGTTGAGCATTTTAAAACTGCAAAAAACAAATTTAAATGACGGAATATAATTAAGAACGAAACCGGTAAAGACAAACCTCTTAACACTTAACTATCAATATTCCTATTTTGACAACGGAGTAACTGAATTCTCCCAACTGTCGCAGAATCATTACTCAAACAGAATATTAAAGAAAACCGCAGTTATAGTCGATTTCCGTTACAGTTATTGCGTCCTGATTTAATGAAACAGTAAACCTTTATTTAAACCTGGTATACATTGGGCGCCCCTAATTTTAGACCTATTTCTGTACTACCATCTCAGTAAATTTTTTAATTTTATTTAATTATAAATTACTCTATAAAAATCAATTTTGTTTGACAAGGGGTCGCTCGACGACTGACGCAGGTGTTGAGCTTATGGAAAATATTTTCAACGCCTGGGAAAGTTCAAAATATGCCTTAGGTATTTTTTGTGATCTTTCCAAGGCTTTCGATTGTGTTCATCATGAGATATAAATCAGGAAACTACAACATGTGTCTAAAATATTGGGCTGAGACTGATTATTTCATATTTAAATACCAGAACTAAAAGTCGTTACCAATGATAGAAGATGCAGACATTGTGTCACATTCCCCTAGGGTCCATACTGTTTTTGCCAGACGTCAGTATACCACACAATCAACACACACATTATATATATACATATATATTATATATAATATTTTTAATTTTAAAAATTTAATCTTAATTAGTACTAGCTAAGTAAAACGCGCGCGCATACACATACATATACTTTTTAGCTGTTCACATTCTCTTTTTCACTTGAATTTTATTGTCTGTTTTTTTTTTTATTGTATGGATTGGTCTCAATACCAGTGGCGTAGCTACCCAGAGGCTAGGGGGCAATGCCCCGGGGCCCTCAAGCTAAAGGGGCCTCGGCCTCCAAGAACGACGTTCGAAAAATTATGTACTATCCTAGTTGTATAAAGTATTTTCGAGTTTTAACTTTTTGGCCCCAGACCGCGAACGGCTCGAACTGAAATCACAAAAAATACTCCCACTTCTACAACATAAATATAACATTGTTAAAGATAATTGTCTACTTTGTTTTATTACATACATACATACATATAATCACGCCTCTTTCCCGTAGGGGTAGGCAGAGACCAGTTCTTTCCACTTGCTACGATCCTTACATACTTGTTTTGCTTCGTCCACTTTCATTATTCCCTTCATACATGCTCTACGGTTTAAGGTACTCTTGACCTGGCCTTTTTTCAAGACGTCCCTGATTTGGTCTAGAAATGTCCGCCTAGGTCTACCCCTTCCAACACTTTCATTCACACTCGCCTTATACACTTTTTTCGTCAATCGTTCTTCATTCATTCTCTCGACATGGCCAAACCATCTCAGCATACCTTTCTCAATTTTTGTCACTACATCTTCTTTCAGACCACAACGTTTCCTTACCTCACTATTTCTTAGCCTGTCACTCAGTTTAACTCCTATCATACTTCTTAATGCTCTCATCTCAACTGCATTTATTCTGCTTTCATGTTTCTTCTGCCATACCCAAGTTTCACTTCCGTACATGAGTGTCGGAACCAACACCCCCTCATGCACAGCCAAACGAGCCTTGTTAGACACCTTCCGACTGCTCATAAAGGAGTGCAAAGCTCCATTCACCATGTTTCCTGCATTCACTCTTCTTTCGATATCACTCTCACACTTTCCATCTCTTGTAAACTTTGAACCCAGATACACAAACTCTATTGTTTTATTGTCTTTTTTATATAAAAGAGGGGGACAAACGAGCATGCGGTTTACTTAATGGCAAGTGTCGAGCACCGCTTATTGACAAATACAACACCAGCCCGGCTAGCATGGGTGGGGGACAATTTTATCCCCGGGGAAAGGAGAAAATGTTTATCCCCTCGCTTAGTTTTATCCACCCTTAGAGCATGGGCACACCGGTGGATATAATATACACAGTAGATAAATTGGGAGATAGACTTAGACTTAGATAGATTTTTTTGTATGAATATAAACTTCAACCCACGTCCAATGAACTAGGATAAAATTGTCCCTTTGAAATGTCAAAAAAGCATAATTTTTTTATCTTTCATTTGGCTCCATGCTACGGACGGGGGATATATGTCTACTCGTTATGTCAAACGGGGATATACTTCTCCCCGTTTGACATAACAAGATAATTTTATTTCTTGTCAGTGGATATAATCGGGGGATAAAATTTTTGTCCCCAGCCCATGCTAGCCGGCCAGGGGAATTGCAGGCACGTTGCTGGCTTTTTAAAAAGGAGTCAGCTCGTTTCTTGAAGGTCCCTAAGTCGTATCGGTCTGGAAAAATCGCCGGTGGTAAACGATTGCAGTCGTGCGAGGAAGAAAACTTAGTAAATCGGACAGTAGTGGACTGCCAAACATCTCGATGATGTGGATTCGTGAAATCCTTTGATGAAATTTGGTGGCTGGAATTAATCAGAACAATTCCTCTGAACACTCCCCGTGATAAATGCGATAGAAAATGCAAAAGGATGCAACATCTCTTCGTCTCGTCTTTCGTCTTCGTTGGTCGTCGACCATTCGAGCCTCTGCGCTGGATGCGGTCAAGTGGAAGGAACTGGTACTAGGGAGCCCTGGTCCAGAGATTAGAACAGTATTTCATGTTAGGCCGAACCTACCCCTTGTAAAGTTGCAAGCAGTGTGCCGGCATAAAATACTGTCCCGCTCTGCTGAGCACGCCAAGCTTTTTAGATGCCAATTTGGCCTTCCCTTTCAAGTGACCTTCGTGGTCACTGCAAGTTATTCGATATGTCAACGCCGAAGATTACGATACTAGCTGAGGTAAAAAAGGGGAGTGCCCTGAAATTGAGGAGTTACGACAAAGAAGTTATTTTTAGTAGTAAACGCGCAACCTTGTGTCTTCTGGGCATTGAACTTAATTAGATTTAGTCGCCCCAATCCGAAACCTTATCCGGCAAAGACTCGATTTCAGACACAAGTTTGTTCCGGTACTCGGCGAAGTTTTCCCGAGAAATATAGGCACAGCCAGTGTATAAAGCATCACCAGTGCACGTTACTGGCTTGAAAAATATTATTGATAAGCAGAAGAAACAGCGTAGGTAATAGCACGTAGCCTTGAGGAATACCAGCCTAAATAGGCTTATAAATGGAGCATGCACTTTCTACTACGACTGTTACTCCAATCTGCAAGAAAACTGCTGATCCAGTCGCACAAATTTTCGGGAAGTCCATAAGAAGGGACAGAAATACGCTAGTATTTTGTCAGGGTAAGTACATTTATTGTTCGTGCTGCGGATAGCTCGACTGGCTCTGTTAGCACTCGTACTATTGTTTATTCTGTGCTAGTACTTGAAATCCGCAACAATAGCAGATAAGCACCATAATCAGCACCCTTCTTTTCCTATTCGAGTAAACGCAAGATAATATAACGTGTAATGTGATAATAAATTGTACGTGAAGACCAAAATTGCGTTAATATGGTCTATGCTCAAATAGTGACACTGGAGTTTGAGCTTAAACTAAATGTTATTTTTGAACACTACTTGTGCCTTAAATACCTTCCAAAAATTTGTCACCAACTCACGCATCATTGGTAAGTATAAAGTTTTGCGACTTTTCTAAAGGTAAGACAAGACGCGCTAAGGGAAAGAGATCTGTAGAAAGAGAAACACGAATTACTTTTAATTACTTTATTTAGCATATTCAAAATATATTTTCCAGAATATGATCGAGATTGCCGAAAGAAATACGTCAAATATCACACTTGCTGTCAAGCAAAGCCTCTCCCATTTATTGCTATTTGGAAGCTTCACAAATGATTATAGAGCTATTCTTACACATTGATTACAATTAAATAACATATAAAAACAAAAAAAAATCTTTACATAAATACAATTTAGTTTAACTGCTGATGATGATGTCCAATAGAAGAAAATAATTATTATAATACCATATTCCTCAACGAGAAGTCAAATTAAATTTATATTTTAGGAATTTATTTACTTACACATTGAATTAAAATACCAATTATATTATTATGTGTTCATGGCGCCGCCGTAGCTGCTCTCAAATTACACATTTGTACAATATTTAATACTTGAACAATTCATTTATATAAAATAAATATGTAAATTAAGTACTTTATTAATATTTTATAGGATAATTAAAAAATGGCATAACTTGGGACGGTAACACAAAATATTTTTATAATTAGGCTAGACTAAGAATCACTTAAATAAATAATTTAAACCACCTAAAATTAATTAAATAATCGATATTGATAACGAATTTACCTGTCAAACTAAAAGCGGGAATAATGATTTTGTATAGAAAAGTGAAGTATGGCTTTGATTAAATTTAATTCTATTTATGAATGAACTGAATTCAGGAAGGGTAGGTATGTAACAATTTTATATATTAAAATCTAATTTGAAAAATGAAATACAATTAAATGTTAAATAGCAGAAATTATAAATGTTCATAGCGTTAATTTATATATATGTATATGGGTAAAATCAAAATGTCAGTTAAATTTTACAATGTTCGATATAGTTTTATTTTGTACCTTTTAACTACTTCTCTTTTACTTAATAATACGAGAGAAATCAAAAGTTTAAATTTGCATGAATACTATATTTATTGCACGTGAATTTTGGAAGTAAATAAGTATATTTATCACTCTCATCAAACATTCAGATAAATTTTCTCTAGGCAGATCTTTAGTTTGGTTTAATGTTGAAAATATAAATAAATATATTAAATGAAGCTTTGGAGGGCACGCACGTGGCGCGACCGTCTCGACTAGCATCGTTGTCAACTCACGCAAATGTTCAAACAAACAACCAACATATAAAATAATTTACTAACAACATAATATATCTCTATATAATTGTTACTAAAGTGACAGAAGGCGATTCTATAACGCGTAAAAGATTTGCATATTCTGTGTTAACTAATTAGGCACTACGGTTTTGATCGCCAATTTCAGCGTGTAAGTGTTTATTAAGGTGACATGGGCGCCAAAAGCAGATTTTTGACGCTTTATGGGTGCGCAGAAAAGAAATTTTTTGTCATTAAAAACTACGAATTAACTTTTTTTTAATTATTATGAAAGTTAAAGATTTGCCTTAGTGAATTATGATGGCCAAAACACGATTGACACATTTTGGCTCGATACAAAAAAAATGGCAGTTTCATCAATATCTACGATTTTAAGTACGTCCATTTAGCGAAAAAAAAAACAGTTTCATTCGAATTTAATTAAAGCAATTTAAATAAATTCTGTCTATGTGTTCGCCAGTAAATACATGGGGGATTTATGGGTTTATTTTCCAATAAAAGAGTATATTTAATTTTAAAAAGAAATATCAAATAAATATCGTGCAGTAAAATTGCGCGCGAGCCGGCTAAACAGGAGCATATCGCCGCTCCTCGCTCGTGACCACAATACTATTTCGCCTTAAGTAGCTATAATAACTCAGCAGACACAAACACAATGGCCGTGTACAAAAGAAGATTGTGATAGTGTAAGACAACATAATCAATGTTCTTTTCCTTTTTCGGCACTAGTTAAAAATGTGATAACCCGGATGACAAAAAAATTACTAGCATTTATTTATTGCAAGTCGTTTACCACGCTGAGGAAAAGGAAAGTAATGAGATTCTGCAGATACGTACATATGTACATATTGGAAGCGCGTTCAAACCACTGCTGTTTACTGATACGCCATTGTTCGTTTCCATCGATATTAATTGTGTATTATAAGGGTGTGGATATTAGTCAATAGCAGTGGTTTATGTGATGATGAAGTAACTCCTGAGGAGTAAATTGACGGTAGGTAGTTTAAAAAAATCCTTTTTTTAGTAATTTTTTTTAACTACCTACCTACAAAAGTTCTTCAAAAAAAATAATCAGCCACACTATCAATATCGTCATTTAGTCTCGTACATACAGTTAAAAAATAGTGAATACGCACAAAACCGTATTAAGAACACATATTAAGGAGTAAAAAGGTCGAGGAATGTTATGTGTTAGGTTCAATCTTCATTTATGTAAACATCTCAATCACTATATTACTAATTAAAATCCATTTAACGGCAGTTTATTCAAACAATTTCACTTGACTTATCTCAATTGGTTATATTTTCAATAATGTTAAAATTTGTACCAATTTGACTTACTTTCATAACTTCATAGCTTGCATCACACTTCAGTATCTACGACTAGATCGTTCACATTTCACATAGCACCGTCAGTTTGTTATTAAAATATCAGGTACTCGATTAATTTAGTAAATGTACATTCTTCGTCAAGAATCAATACTTTCGATATATCTACCATTTAGCATACTAAGCATCTAGTACATCTATCAGAGGAACTAAAATGGAATTTACAAGGTGAATTTAGCTGCATTGCAATGTTTAAATTTTTTTTAATTTCAATTATTACTACGTATGTCAAGGGACATTTCTTTCATGTGTGTATTAACACTTTCACTATTCGATTTGCACACACAATAGTAAGACAACAGCAATGACCCATATGTGGGTCACGGGGCAGTAAAAGTGTTAAATACGAACGAGCTTACTCATATAAAACGATGTTAATTTAAGAATTGCTTAAAGTTGCTCTCTCTTCACTAAATGATATAGAAAATGGCAGGTAAGATGTAAGCGTTAATCAACCGTTTATGAAAGGCCGTAAATGTTTACTAGTGACAACAACGTCAACAAGCGTCGCAATATTGTCGAAAAGGAACTTTAAAGATTGGAAGCAGGAAAAATTATGATATAAAAGTTGAAGGAATGAAAATGGTTACTAAATTGAGATTTTTTTAAAAATTGTTTTATCATTTTAGACTTGTTAGAATTTTGCTCAAAACCTTTTGTAGGTAAGTCACTAATATCATAATCTTGATGAAGATTTAAATATCAAGAGCATGTAGGGTCGATACTATTTTAGGAAATATTAACGCATGTCACCTTTTTTGTTCTAAAAAGATATACTCTTATAAGTTGGAATTTATTTTACTTTTTTATGCCGTTTAAGTTACGTAATTTTTATTTGGAATAAATTATGTAATTTGAACTTGGATTGAGTAATTTCTATTTTTTCCGCTGCTAGTGTAATTTGTATTTGGATTATGAAATTTGAACTTGGATTGACTAAGTTCAATTTTTACGTCACTAGTGTAATTTGTATTTAGATTATGAAATTTGAACTTGGATTGACTAAGTTCAATTTTTACGTCACTAGTGTAATTTGTATTTAGATTATGAAATTTGAACTTGGATTGACTAAGTTCAATTTTTACGTCACTAGTGTAATTTGTATTTAGATTATGAAATTTGAACTTGGATTGACTAAGTTCAATTTTTACGTCACTAGTGTAATTTGTATTTAGATTATGAAATTTGAACTTGAATTGAGTAAGTTCAATTTTTACGTCACTAGTGTAATTTGTATTTAGATTATGAAATTTGAACTTGGATTGACTAAGTTCAATTTTTACGTCACTAGTGTAATTTGTATTTAGATTATGAAATTTGAACTTGGATTGAGTAATTTCTATTTTTTCCGCTGCTAGTGTAATTTGTATTTAGAATAAGTAATTTGAACTTGGATTGAGTAATTTCTATTTTTTCCGCTGCTAGTGTAATTTGTATTTGGATCATGAAATTTTAATTTCGATGGATTAAGTTCTATTTTTTATGACACTAGTGTATTTTGTATTTGGAATATTATGTAATTTGAACTTGGATTGAATAAGTTCCATTTTTGACGTCACTGGTGTAATTTTTATTTGGAATATGTAATTTGTATTGGAGTTACTTTATAATGGATCAATTTATTATAATATTTGTTATCAATTTAATAAACTTAAGTGTGGTATATTGATGTGATGTTTAAGTATGTCAAATTTAAATTTTTAATACGACGTGGCGAGGCGCTATGAGTGTGCGTATTTTAGTACCTCTCCTAATTTTTTTTCTTCTAGTAAGGATTCTTCCACTGGGGACCGGAGTGGATGATTTTCTTCTGCGGGGGTCACTGGCTGCTTCGTTATTTCTGGTGGTGGCCTGTGGTGAGAAATTTTTAGTTAGTTTAGTTGTCTTATTGTATTTATAATTGGGGTATTAGTAATTATTTATTCTGTGGTATAAGGCTAATATGTGGCTATTTCTTCAAATTCCATATCATTACATCATTCTTATTGAATTTTTTTTTTACTTTATCACTAGATCGGAAAAAACTTTCTCATGGGAAGAAACAGCAGGAAACCAAGCGGAACTTTAAAAAAAAGTAAATTATATAATATAAGAGGTTATACAAACTATTTATAAAATGTATTTTAGAAACTGCTTGGAAGCGACCGCCTCATTCCCAGGGGTTATTATCTATTCATTTATATCATAATACCCTTTTTATAGTTTTTGTTTAGCGAAATATTTAAATTTGGTAATAGAGAGACCTTGATTTTCTGGGACTTTGTTGTAATAGCGTATAAATTGCCCTGGAGTCGAGAAACAGGTATCACCAGCTTGTATTTGTTCCTAGTATTTACAGAGGATTTTTGTGAATAGACATAAAATTTTCGTAAGTATACTTGAGAGGCCAAAGTTAATATATTTCTTTAAATTGTTCTCTGACAGACTGTCTCGATTTTTAGGTTGTAAATATGCTCTGTAATAAGGCTCTTATGGGCCTTGTCTTCAAAACAAAAATAGTTTCTCAATCAGCCACATTCCACCATAGCAAAATCCTATAAGACAATATGCTATGGAAATAACTGAAATAAACTAATCTAGCTGTCTCGACACTAGAGAGACCTCTAATCTTTTTTTACAGCATAAACTGCAGAGCTTAGCCTGCGAGCTAGTTTAGATATATGGGAACCCCATTGAAGTTTTGCGTCGAGTGATGCCAAGAAAACAGTGGAATCAACAGGACTCAGTTCTTCTCCATTTAAAAATACATTGGCATACAGGGTTTTAACATTCGATGTTGTAAATTTAATACACTTAGTTTTATTGCCGTTTAAGTGTAAATTATTAACGTTAAACCAATGCACTAAATAAACCATTATTCACTTCGTCAAATTTAAATGATCGACGTTTAAATTTAAAAATCAAGGAAGTATCATCAGCAAATAATACTATATCAGGATTATCCCCTGCATGGGAAGATGAGTCATTAATATAGAAATAGGAATGGGCCGAGAATTGAGCCTTGAGGGACACTCATTAGTACAGGTGACCCGTAAGAATTTTTACGATTGATAATAACTTTCTGCGTTCTATTACTTAAATATGAAATAACGAGCTTAAGCGCTGTGTTCTTAACACCATAGAAATGTGGTTTCCTGATTGATGCCTCATGGTAAACACAGTTGAAGGCCTTGAAAATGTCACAAAGTATTCCCAAAGCATCCTCTAAACTCTGCCATGCACAAAATATATGTTTAATAAGCACAACCCCGACGTCAGTTGTTGAGCGACCCCTTGTAAAACCAAAATTTTGATGAAGTAATATATATTAAAATTTATATTAAAAAAAAACTTAACATCTCATTTAAAATTATTTTTTCAAAAATTTTACTATATTTATTTATTTAAACTTTCATGCACACAGTTGTACATATGGTGGACATAATGCCATAGGGCATTCTCTCTCAGTCAAATATTAGGCTAAACAGAGATAGACAAACAAGGGGCGGTGCAGCAGTAATGAAAATAGAAAGGGCTAAAAAACATAAAAAATTGTATATACAAATATAAATATACACATACACATATACATGCATACATTACATTTATACACAATACATATATAAATATTATCTGTTCACGCCCAAACGCTGGTTTCGGGATTTGACGCCGGAGGGCGCTCGGCTCGGTGCCATACCGGTTGTGACGTTCGGGCGAGCAGAGTGGCTTTGGTAGAGGGCGCAAGCGCAGAAAGTTGGTTGCTTGAAAGGAGTGCTGTCGAGAGCATGTCGTGAAGTCGCTCGGTATAGCCTCCATTTTTTAGAGACGGTTTTGTTAGCAAATGGTGCAACGACGAGGAATTGTAGTCTAGAATTAGACGCCGGGTTAACAAATTGTTAGGAAGTTAACATTGATTGCGATCAACGTCTGAATTTGTGGGTTGTGCGCGCTTAATTTACCGCGAATTTGGTTATTCTAATTTCATAGCGTATATAAGTGCATTTGACAATATTAATTTGCTCGTGCGGCATTTAACATAGTTCGGAGACATTTTCCGTTGTCGGGTGAACGCTGAACTTCGTGACACTAGAGAAGGTCGTGTTAGGTTCTAGAAATAATTGTTGCCACGCGAAACGGAAGTGACCTTTGATCCGTACATTCGGTATTCGTGTTGTGTGTTACGCTTTATAATAAACGAGAGTTAGTGGCGTCTGGAAGTTAGTTAATTCTAGGATAAAGTTAATAGACTGTCATCGTGAAGAAGAAAGAAAGTGACTGTGGGTGACGCCGCTGGAGATTACCACAATTTGGAGCGGTGCCGAAGTCCGGGCTGCTGCTGACTTCAACGGTCCAGTCAGGTCTATCACAACCAATACCACAAAAACACCACTACACGCAACACATAGACATCTCCGGCCTGACCGAGCCCTGAGACAGTCGTCGCCTAAGATACAGGTAAGTACTCTCTATTCGACTAGCCTTCCCCTTAAAGTGTAGTAGGATAGAACATTTCCATCAGGCTCGAACCCGCGGCCCCGTCCTTAGTTGTTCATCGAGTCTACAGCTATGGGCCCCTGTGTGATCGATCTTTGTCGGGACAGCTAGGGGCGTGTACATTATCTATGTCTGAACAAATATGAAATATATTTATGTATATGAAAATAAAGAGCTGTGTTAGTTCAAACTTGCAACTTTTTTTCACAAGCTTACGTATTTAATTAAAAAAAAAACTTGTTGGGAGCTTTTTTAATGTCAAGAGAGATTTCGTTCCAGAGTCTGATGGACGTAAGCAACTTAAAATTAGCCGAAGAACGGAGACAACGATTATGAGAATCTCCCAGGTATTGAAATTTGGATTTCAGATACTCGGGAGCACATGGAACGTTCCGAATTGTGAAAAGGGTGCAGAGTATTCTAATATATCTGCGCTAACGGATAGGCAGCCAATTTAGCTAAGCCATACACAGGTCGGATTTACGAAGACCATAAATGTATCTGATGCAGTTGTTAAGTAGAAGATCAAAGATGATGTTGAGACAGGTCTGAGCGATGTGTATAGTATTCGTCTGGCTAGACCCGTGTTGATGAGTCACCAGTAGTGGTGTACGTTAGTTACAGCTACAGCAGCAGGTGCAGTTGCAGGTGGAGAAGCATGTGCAGGTGGAGTAGCAGGTGCAGCAGCAGTGCTCTCTGGTGGAAGCGCGTAATGGCGAGCGCGAGCAGGGCCGACACGCACAGTAGCATGAGCAGCAGCAGGCACAGGTGCAGGTGCAGCAGCAGGTATAGCAGCAGGTGCAGTGCTCACCGATGCGGCGCGTGCTGGCGAGCGCGGCCGCGGCCAACTAGTGCAGCATCAGGTGCAGGTGCAGCAGCAGGTGCATTTGCAGCAGCATGTGCAGCAGCAGGTGCAGTGCTCACCGGTGGCGGCGCGTTCTGGCGAGCGCGAGCGCGGCCAGCTGGCGCATCAACAGGTGCAGGTACAGCAGCATGTGCAATGCTCATCAGTGGAGGCGCGTGCTGGCGGGCGCGGGCGCGGCCATCAGGCGCAGCAGCAGGTACAGGTGCAACAGGTGCAGGTGCAATTGCAGCAGCAGGTGTAGTGCTCACCGGTGGCGGCGCGTGCTGGCGGGCGCGAGCGCGGCCAGCAGGCGCAGCAGCGCGTGGCGCGGCGCCGCCTGCAGCTGCTGCAGCCGCTCGGCTGGCAAGTCCACGCAGTACGGGTTGCGCGCGTCCCCCAGGAACGGCGCCACGTGGTTCTCCATCCGCAGCACCAGCAGAAGCACGTCCTCCAGGTCCGCCTCGCTGGAACGCCATTACCGTTACCATTACAGCCTACCAAAGTCTACTGCTTAACATAGGCCTCCCACATAGATTACCTTACAGGGAGAATTTTGTCATAGGTTACCACGCTTAGCAAGCGGGTTGCCAACCGCATTTTTTTATAATATTGAATTGTTATCAAGAAAATTTTTCTGACCATCTCCTCTTAGCCAGTCTCAACAGAGAGCAATTATGCACGCAAGCACATGTGCACTCCCTATTCCCTCACTCTCATAGTCCGATGGGAGAGTAATACGACAAGACCGAAAAAAGATCAGGCACAGATCCTACCGGCTTTCCGAGGCACGGGGGTTAAATTCCGCCAGCTTCCTGACTCTGGATTGCTACTAAGAATGTCTTGACAGAAAAATTCAATAACTAATTTTGGCCCGACCCAGAATTCGAACCCGGGACCTCATGATTAGCAATCGCGTTTACAACTACTAGACACCAAGGACGCTGTCAATACGTTGCCATAGTGGAAGTTAGCAAATTAGTCATATTATAATTTTTTTTATAAATACGTTGACATTGGTATTTTTCCATATTTAATGAAACAGTAAAATAATTATCCTTTTTAAATTTGGTAGTACAAGAAATCAAACTAATTTTTCACCCTTAACTCATACATAATACCAGCACTTAGCAAAGTTTTTAAAAATATAATTTATAATCGGTTAATACATCATTTCTCGTTTAATAAACTATTTCATAGTAGGCATTGCACTTCCTAAAACTCATTTAAAGCTTGGAAGAGTAAACAGGATGCTGTTACGGCCCCCAGCTGCCCTTGCAAAGGTCGCCTTGGCTAGGGCCCATAGTAGCCTCCTCGACGGGCAGCCGAAGGTTCGGGCCCAAATGGCCTTATGGAGAATTGGCCTATCATAGTACACAATAGGGAGAAGGTTAGGTAAATAAATAGTACGTACCTGGATCCGAAGCTAAGACCGCACCAAGGCTCGGTCAGGCCGTAGGTAGTTGTAGGTGCATGTAAAGTGGTGTTTAGTGGTGTGTATATTTATGTGACTTGGCCCAGCTGAGGTGACCGGGCAGCGGCCTAGTCCCATGCTGCCCCAGAATGCTGCATCACTCCAGCAGGCGTCACCAAGTGACAACTTCTTTCTTCATGTCACTATTTCAGTCTATCAACTTTATTGTACATTTAACTAACTTCAACTCAACTAATTCAACGTTCATCGTAAAATCAAACACGTGATACCCGACACAAGTAACGAACAGTAGTTCAAAGTTCAATATTCAAGGTTCCGGATTCATTTATCACCAAATTACAAATAGGGAACTAACGCGATCTCTTCACGAGTCACAAAGTTCAGCGTTACAACCAACAACTAAATTCCTTCGTACTATATTAAATACTACGCCGCAATAAGAATTCAAAATCAACCTAGCTGACACGCAAAGTAACTAAAGAGTCAACACACAAAAGGCAAAATTCAAAATAAGCCTCTTGTCACGAACGTACAACTTAGACAAACTAAACCGAGGCGGTCTTCACGAAACCACAATTCAGTAGTGAAGTAACGCGCACCAATACTAAAAATCTAGACCATAAACCCAAAAAACTGGTCGCGCGAAATATATGCAGCGGTAACCAAAATACGCTAATTGACCGCACCGCTGCTCTCAAGCTACTGTCTTCGCCCACGAGCGCCAAACGCCGGGAGGCCGCATACCGCTGCCCCCTCCCGCCGACTCGCGCGACATATCACACCATCGGGTGATTCGCTAAGTCAAAAGCAATTGGATGCCGTCTCAAATGACCATATTTGGCCTAAATAAACCCCCGTCCCGGACATAAGGACTTATGTCCGCGAGCAAACCGGCAAGCGGGACAGGGTCGCGACGGCACGTTGCAAGACCGAAACTACCACCAAACCTAGGCCACCTTAGGCACCCCATCAGATCTTGCAACCCTAACCACCGCCTCAAAAATACAGCCCCAACGTGGGCAAGCCGGAGGGTCGAACCTCCACTGGATGCCCTTCCTGGACATCGCAGCACCTAAATAAGTCCTATTACTGGACAGAAGTCCAACGACCTCTTTCAAACACCTATCTGTGCCCCTAAGATTCGTTCCGCAATCCGATCGGATCAGGTCTGCAAAAAGCGACGCGATACGAAGCGGCCCAGCGTGGCCACCTAAGCTTCAGTGCAGAGTGCACCCACAAATTCCACATGAACGTCGTCTGTGGAGAGCCAATTGAAACGCACAGATAGTCCTTAGTATGAATTTTTCAAGCAAGTAGGCATAACCAAGCCATCCACCATATAACCACAACAACAACAAACAACTAGCTAGCCTTTTAGACATGTAGTCCTATGCTTGTATTTCAACCAAAAAAAAAGCATCTGTCAAAAGCATCAATACTCAAACCACTATGTAAAACTTGAAAATAAATTGTAACGAATTTATTTCCTGATGCGCATAGATCAAACAGGCAAACTAAGCAAAACGACAAACATAAGAGATATTTTTTTTTCTTTAAAAAACCAATGAAATTCAAAATAAATATCTTCAACAGTGGCACTGCCAACAAAAATGTGAAAACAAAGAGAGGAATGATTCTTATTCCACTCGGCACAAATAGTGTTATTCAATTTCAATTTTCCTTTAAACAAAGCAAACAAAATGATCAAATACATTTACAAAAACATATGCACACGCATTCAACGCTCCAGGAGAGCCCTAGTCTTCCCAACAACTCAAGGAATTAGTGGAGGCGACCGTGGTGGGAGCCAGGGCGGCAGCTACCTAGCTGGGGCTGCCTGCATCAAAAGGGGAACGGTGGTACCCCAGCCGCGGCCACTCAGCTGACGGAGGTGAGAAGGGTCTAGCTGACCGCTGAGTGGCTGTGAAGTCCCTCTCAACACACTGAGTGTGAGCCCCTGGGGGAACAACCCCTCGACTGGTTCGGGCAGGGACCCCTTTCAAATCCAGGGGCACGGTGCCCGGCAGGCGAAGCGCCGAGCGTCGCACCCGCCCGTGGGAGTCTAGGGCCCCGGAAGAGCCCTGAGAGGGAACGCCGTTCGCACCCAGACACAAAACGGCATGGTGATTGCCCTGGCAGCGCGATGGTATCACTTCTAAATACAAATTACTACGCGGTAAAAATACAAATCAATTAACAAATAACAAATACAGTTCCTATCAAATCAAGTTAAATACAAATTACACAAATACAAATTACTATTTATTAAATCAGAGCTCGGAAACCGGTTCAAATTCTTAACCGGTTTCGGTCATTGACCCCAAAACCGGTTTTTGCGGAATACCGGTTTTCACAAATTCAGATTCAGGTAGTAAGAATTAACCGGTTAAAACCAAGTTTTGTAATGTCCCCCCACTCCCTTACCCCGCTCGCACCCAACTTTGTACGGCTGCCCTCTGTTTAATTCACGAGGTTTTTAGACACACGTACGATATATTCATTGCATCAACGCGACTGCCTTGTAACGTACTCCCTCATATTTTTTCATCTTTCAGCAACGATCGTATTATAAATAACAGATGTAAGTTCTGTTTCAATTAATTATGCGTTATCTTCACTTTAAAATTAAGTTTCGATATCAAGTTTAATTTGACCTTATATATTTAAATTGATTTTAATTATATTTAACGTTTTCTATGAAAATTACGCTTTGTATTTTTAATTGAATGTCATTAGTTTTAGTAATATATCGCAATAAACGATGAACTTTCTTAACAAAACACGATATTTTTTAAAAGTTTATGAATGTTATAGTATTTGTTCTTTTTAGGAATAAAGGTAGGCAGATTACCAGATTTTTTTAAATTCAGAAGCTCGTGATAACGACCAACCTCTATCTCCGTCTTTGCAAAAATCAATAATGACCACTTCTGAGGTGTAAAGTTTAACTAAAAGTCATGTCTAAACACGATAAAAAATTGTTTATGTTCAGAGAATTCTAACAAAAGAAATTACCATTTTTCACATCTTATTAATGGGGAATTGGAGCAAATCTTATCATGTTGTATACGTACAAGATGCTACTAAAAATATTAGCTTTTCTAAATAGAGTGCAAGGTAACCACATAGGTGAAATTAAATTTACTGATACTGAAATTAATAAAAAAATAATAATTTGAATATAACAAATCATTATGATTAAATTCGGATACACTTTGCTGTCGATTGTAACCAAATACATACACTAAAAATCCTGTCTTTTATTTGAAGTAATTATTAATAACTTCCAAATAACTAGATAATCAGTATAAATCACACTGATATCTACGATCTTGTATAGAATTATTAAAAGTGCAGCCAAGTTTTCTCACGCCTCAAGATCAAAATAATATAGTAATCACTTTCGAATTTTTTATAAACTTCCATACTTATTCAAATAAATAAAATTGAAGTGTCTTTTCGTAAGGTGAAAATAACAGATTTTAACTAAATACATATTATGAAAGTATATAATATAAAAAATTGAAATTTTGTCTGTCTGTATGTCTGTTTGTTCCGGCTAAACTCCGAAATGGCTGGACCTATTCTGACGGACCTTTCACTGGTCCGATTGCCGACTGCCTCGTTGGTCTAGTGGTTACTAGCGCGACTGTGGATCATGATTTGGTCCTGGGTTTGAATCCCGGATCGTGCCAAGTACCGTTATTGGATTAATTTGGATATAATGAGTGTTCTAAAAACCACCTTGATAGTCGTATTACAGCCCTCAACCAAGCACTTAAGATTTTTGGGTTTCTTCGTGGCATGTTTTGTTATAGAAAAGTGGGCAAACGAGCATGCGGGTCACCTGATGGTAAGTGCCGCACATGAACAACCGCAACACCAGGGGAATTGCAGGTGCATTGCCGGCCTTTTAGAAAGGAGTAAGCTCTTTTCTTGAAGGTCTCTAAGTCGTATCGGTCCGGAAAAATCGCCGGTGGTAAACAATTCCACAAAGAAGTTGCACAAGGAAAAAAACTACTAGTAAAACGC